AAAACCTTGACTTTCATAATTGGACTGTTACGGATGTCGCTTTCATTAATCCCACTAGCGGGTTTTGACCTTATGTTTGGTATATAAGGCTTAGTAAATTCAGTGGTGTCTACCATACATCATACGAGCAGATGTTACTATAACCATGCTGTCCACAAGAGTGTGAGTAGGCTAGTATCAGTAAGTGAATGTTTAAGGAATAGTGAATCAAGTAATAACGAGTTTACACCGTGTTTATTTGGTTAATATCTGGGAAGCTGCAATACATGAGAGAGTTACTTTCTTATACGTTAATTACAACTGAGTAGAAAACAATTATATTTAATACTCTTAGTAATATGGTTTTTCTTTTATTACCAACTTTTTTGTTTCTGTAAAAACCAGTACGTTCCTATTTACTTGAGAACGAGAATAATATATGAAATGAACAGTTCAAAGTGAGTAAAATATAAGTTTCAGTTCAGGTACTTCAGTTTCTATATGTGTATTATTATATGACAATGTAATTCTAGCTCGTGCACAAATTGTAGCTACATGAAGTGGTTTCTTACAGCTATTTAAAATACTTCCTCTCAGATGTATGGTAATTTAAATCGAACTATATCTAGAAAAGAAAGATCATAGCGAGGTTCATTCAGACTAATGTCACTAGAGTCAATATGGAAGAGAAAATAAGGTTACTAGAGTCAATGTGGAAGAGAAAATAAGGTCACTAGAGTCGATATGGAACAGAAAATAAGAAAATAAGTGAACACCAGCAAATCGGCAACTGATGTGTGGCTTTTAATTCATGATGAACATGAAATACAGAAACTAAAAATAAGTGTAATAGTTGTTCTCACGGCGTGTTTGTTGTTGAGTGAGTGAGTGTATAGCTGTTATATAGAAGAGAAACTTGTCAATTTTTTTCAGGCTTTAATCAAGCTCATGGCTGAGCCAAGTAAAGTTTAATAAGTCGTTATAAAAGCCATTTCATAGCTAATAAATATTATAATGTTAATCGGCGTGAAATAATAGCTTTTAAAGCCGTTTGTTATTCTTTTTTCTCTATTCGCTTTGTAAAGTACTTTAAACAGCACCAAAAGGGCACCAAACTTGCCAATTAAATACTAGTATGTTTTATATTATCTTTGATTCCTCTGCCCAAACTAGTGAAGGTGTTAGTGTTAGTAACAGTTCTTGTGTGGTTACATTCAATTTCCCTCATATCTATAACAATTCTTCTGGTTTTATCTAATCAATGTGTTGGTGTTGTTAATGGTTACCCCTGACATTATATGTTATAGTTTTCTTAAAGAAATTCCGTATATCAGGATATTCATCAGGAAAGACTAGAGCTGTAAACAGAACATAGAAATAACATAATACCCAGAGAGAATATAATACCCTCACAGAACATAGATAGGATATAATTCCCAGACAGAACTTAATACCCAGACAGAACATAATGCCCAGACAAAATATAGATGGAATATAATGCCCTGAGAGAATATAGACGGAGCATGATGCCCTGACATAATATCCAAACAGAACATAGAAGCCCATCAGTAAAACGAAGCTGTTTCAAATCACTTTGTTAGACTTTCCAAGTATAAGTTTCATGACTATGATGACGACTGCTTATGATTCATAAGCAAATTGTATTATCATTGTAACGGCAAGTTTCAAATATAAGAGTAAATAACTAAGAATACTGACCTTGTATAACAATAAACAGGAGCGTTTAATATCCTCTGAGGCCCATAGCTCTCCGTTTAATATCCTCTGAGGCCCATAACTCTCCGTTGAATGTCCTCTGAGGCTCACAGCTCTCTGTTGAATGTTCTTTGAGGCCCACAGATCTCCGTTTAATATCCTCTGAGGCCCATAGCTCTCTGTTTAATATCCTCTGAGGCCCACAGCTCTCCGTTTAATATCCTCTGAGGCCCATAGCTCTCTGTTTAATATCCTCTGAGGCCCACAGCTCTCCGTTACGATATACTTGAAACTATTTAATCTCACTTCATAACCAGTAATTCAAAATTCGGAGAACAGCCTACTCATAAATATTTTTTATATAAAGAAGTTATTCAGTTTATCAGCACCTGAATTTATCTCCGAGATCAGAATCTAGTTGGATATTCAGTGTTGTAATGTTTATTGTAAATTCAAAATGTAAATGTAATATTTGGCTTTATAATATTGCGAAACAGTAGATCAACTGTCTGCTGTTAAATGAACATCATGAAGTTAATACAAACTCACAAAAAGTTTAGGGGAGAGTAAACAAAACTAACACTTCTATTTTCAATAAAACTGCAGAGTATACACTTAAATAAACGATATACAGATTCTTAGATATTGCCATAGCCATAGTAATATATATACACACTTAAATTTTCTCAACGCAAAAAATACCTAATTAGGCCTAGTTTAGTTAAAACGAATTTTACTGTGTTAGATCAGGGAAATTGAACACGAACGCTAAATATCTATACATAGGTAATCAGCTCAACCATTTTGTCAATGAAAAACAACACAGTGGAAATTGTGGTTTGTAGCATTCAAGGTGCGACAGCTTTCTTGGCTAGAGCTTTTTCTCAGTTAGAAACCTTTCTCGTTCGAATCTCATTTATTTTACTTTTTCGTAAAATTCCAGCATCACACAGTTAAAATGGCTAGACATAGGTTAATTAGCACGAGCTTTAGGTGGATAGACTACCAAATTGCAATGCAAAATATATTCAGCTAGGCCCAAATGAGCCAATAGAAAATTTAACCCAAGTAATGTGGGAAAGTTTTACTCAGCTTGGACTAAGTAAGTGACCCCAAACTTTATAAAGCTGGGCCTAATATAATAGACTCAAACTTGAGTGACTCAATTCTACGGATTTTCCCCAATAAGGCCGAGGTTAGTAATTTATAATGTCTTTTATCACAAATTTTACCTCTGGGTAAATCTAATTGGTTAATACAAATTTTACTTTGCAAGGAATAAGTTAACGAACACAAATTTTAGGTAGCCAACCTAAGATGAGCCAACCAAAACCCTATTCACCTAATTTTATGCGGTCCTCCGTCAGGACAGCGGTAAGTCGTCGGACTTACAACGCTCAAATTTGGAAATCGATTACCTTTGGTGGACACAGCAGATGTGACTTTGCTATAAGAAAACACACACACACAATTTTATGCGAGTAACTTAAGTTGATTTTATAAGATATATTATTACAGTTTATTTTTGTTCTGTAATTTAACCCCAGATCTATTTATGATAACACACGTTTGTGTCGAATAAGTGACATGTGCTTTCCAAAAACGATCGTTCTTGGACGTCATACATGGTAACTTGAATTACTATGAATCTTTATTAAAGTTGTAGCAGGTATACGTCTGCTGAAACTCAAATGTATCTAGTTGCTGATTTTAAATTGGGAAAATATGGAAGCAATATAAGGAAAAAACGGTCACCATATTTTGCTATATCTTTTCTTTCACGAACTGTCTTTATATAAAAGTTGTGACTTATAATATCCCAGTGGGGAATTTAGTTCCCCTGGGACAACTAGCTTTTTAAGATATTATCATTATGATCACCTTGTACATTTTCAATTTGTTAATTAGCTCGAAAAGAATTTGTAGTGGTAAGTATATACTTGTTTATATAATTAATATTTGAAACCGTCGGTACTTAGTGAAACTCCATAATTACAGAATTGAGGAAAACAAGACAGTTGTACGTTTCACAAATACATCATTAATTACGACCATGTAACGTACAATTGTCTTGTTTTTCCTCAATTCTGTATATACTTGTTTAGTTGAAATTGGTCATGACTAGTTTCTTTTCTGATGAAATATTCTATTTCAAGAAAGGTTAAGACAATCGTGAGGATTATAAGTGAAAGTACCTACGTTTGAGACGATTGGTCTAATAGGAATATCTTTTTTGTAAGTGTTAACAATCCATGCAGGATTTCAGCATTTGAACCGGTGGACTTCAACATTTCAAATTGCCTTTTATTAGTTTACTCAGATAAGTTGCTAGTTTATTTTTGTTTCGTAGTGTGAAATAAGTTGCTAGTTTATTTTCGTTTCGTAGTGTGAAATAAGTTGCTAGTTTATTTTCGTTTCGTAGTGTGAAATAAGTTGCTAGTTTATTTTCGTTTCGTAGTGTGAAATAAGTTGCTAGTTTATTTTCGTTTCGTAGTGTGAAATAAGTTGCTAGTTTATTTTCGTTTCGTAGTGTGAAATAAGTTGCTAGTTTATTTTGTTCCGTAGTGTGAAATAAGTTGCTAGTTTATTTTCGTTTCGTAGTGTGAAATAAGTTGCTAGTTTATTTTCGTTTCGTAGTGTGGAGTAGGAATTAAGTTTATTGAACTCATAATAATTAAAAATCGCATACATTTTTTCGAGGTAGTCTTGCTTGCTCATAAGATCGATTCCATTACTTTTATCAGGCTTTATGAAGAGAGACTATACCAATTTTCGCTGATTTTCATTTCATGCAAATGAACAGTGATTATTTTATTCAGTGACGATTATATATATTTTTTTAATATTGATAAAAGTTGATTTTGATTTATTTTCCAAAATAATCAGAAATTGATGTCTTTGTCATTATTTCAGTTACTGCTTAATACCGACAATAGAAAATCTCACTTTTAGCTTCTTTAAGAAATGTACCATTTACAAAAAAAGTAGAATGAAAAAGTGTCACAGTGCTGACACACTTCGTCACAGGGAGTAAACTGAGCTCTGTACTACCCTGTCATTTGTCAAACACCTAAACAACTATCACAAGGTGTTATATCAATGTTGATCACCTCTAGAACTGCCCATATCTACACGTTTTACTTTCACCTCTCCACAAACTAAGGAAAATGCTGCCAAGCTTCATGTTACTGATAACCGTGCTATTATTCCATTACTTCTATGATGCTTGACGAATTATCTTTCAAAGCGCATGCGCCTCCATTAGATGAGGCGCTCTTCTCCATCGCTCCAAGGAAACGCTCGTGCGGTTCTCATAGAAACGGACGTGAATCCACGAGGAAAGAGAATAAGTAGGTTTATGTTCGTGATCATGGTGATTATTCGAAGGTTGACCTTTGCTGAAGGAAAGCTCACTGAACAGTGACAAATTAAAATTAAGAAAAATAGGACAAGTTCTTATGCTTTAGAAGCTGCAACGGTACAAGAACCGTCCACTGGCCTCTCTGGAAAGCACCAAGCAGACAGACGGACAACAGAATCGTAGTCTTCTAGGTAAATATTCGATAATTCCTACTTTCTCATTATTATATATCTGAATTACGTTAATGAAAACTCTTCGAAAAATATGTGCTTAAAGGTCCCATTGAACCTTCCTCTCATGGAACATCTTACCGATTTCATTGAAAGACCTTATAGTACAGCATTACAATAAAATTCATTCCTGAACATATTGCTATATTATTATTCTTTGTATTAATTAAACGCATAGGATAGCTTTCATTAAATGTAGTTTGTAGCTACGTAGTAACTAATGCACCGCTCTTTTATAGGATGGTGTCGGCTATCACGAGAGTTTTATGCTGAATAGAACCTATCAGACTATCAATAGACTCATGAATATGACTATGTTGGTGCCCTGTTAACTCTTAGTTCATGAAACGTAACAGAGCTGAAAATCGGCAAATTTAAACATGTGCAACAAACAAGTACAAAGAGACCCTTTGAGATACTTTATATTTCTCGGCATCTTCATCTGTTTACAACAAGTACATGAAGCAACAGACCGCTTAAGTTCTCGAGTTGTGATGACGAAGTATGGGTCACTAAGAGGAATCATCCGGGACCTAGCTAACAAGGACCTTCGCCCGGTTGAAGTGTTTTACGGTGTGCCCTACGCTAGCGCCCCCATTGGCTCCTTGAGATTCATGCCACCCGTTACCCCACCACACTGGCGTAAAATAAGGATTGCCTCCAGATTCGGCCCTGTCTGTCCACAAAAATTTCCGGACATTCAAAATCAAACAGAAGCACTGAAAAGGATGCCCCCTGGGAGGCTAACTTACTTGCGACAAATTCTTCCGTTCCTGGACAAACAGAGTGAAGACTGTCTTTACTTAAATATTTACGCACCAGCTATACGTAAGTGTATTTTAAAATTAAAATATAGTGTTTATTACAACGAGATAGTGTTTAATGACACTATACTGTATATAAAGAAATCTTACCTAAATGTCATGACCAATGTATAATGAAATTAAGTTAACTTTGGTTTCGAAAAGATATGCATGAATGACGAGAATTAGAGAAGTGTTCTGATCTCGTCCCCTTGATTTGATACTAAAGTTACTTTAATCAGAGTAGAGTAACAACTTTAAAAATTTGCTTCACTTGTCACATATATTTCGTGCAATTGATTCCAATAAAAGTGTCAACGTGTATAATCATAATGTAGATTTAGTGAACTTGTAAAATGGTCACTTAATAGATTGTCTTGAAGATATATGCAAATAAGAAACATAAAATGCGTGCAACTAAAATTGAAAGATGAAATAAGAACAACGCTTCGTGCATTAATAAAGATCAATGTATATAGCATAAAATTAAAATTCAATTAATTTTAGATGCAACTAACACCTTCTTCGTCGGCGATCTTTTCTATGGAAAATTAGGATCGTAACTGAAATACATCTATACTATTATTCTGCTTGTTTGTATTTACGACCGTTACGGTTTCTGACAGAGAACCTGCTGCACAAGCATGCGTAGTTAGAATGTTTCCCCAAGAAAAACCGCGCATGCGCATTATTCACTCGACGACAAACAGTCTGCCTGCGGCAGAGAGCTGCAAAGCTCAGTGATCAAGTCGTTACAATTACTGTATGAAACAAGAAGTAACAACAAAAGGGGAAAGTAAATATATAATTTACTAACCATTTTGTACAACATAATCTTAAAAACTTATCAAAGATTTTCAAAAAATGTTTGACGTTAGGTCGAGGATTAACATTATAAGCTTATTTATCGATAGTATTAAATACAGTAAAGTTTAATCCTAAACTAAAGTAAGACAACAAAAAACGTACATAGGTAACAGTGTTAATTTATCTCTTTATCGAACTTAGGCCTAACATAAGTTGTTTTATAAAGTACGGCCTATATACTAAGTGGATTTACACATTTCGTTG